TATAGAAAAATCAGTTAATCAGTTATATTTCTATACATCAGCCATGAACAATCTGAAAATGAAATTAAGACAATTCCATTTACTAGAGTTTAAAAAGAATAAAATACTTAGAAATAACTTTCAGAAATGCAAGAACTTCTGAAATTAATTGGAAAATAATTTTTAAAATTGAAAAATATCTTAAGAAATGTAAGACTTGTACACCGAAAACTACACAGCATTGTTGAAAGAAATGTAAAAAGATGTAAATAAAAAGAAAGACATCCTCTGTACAAAGACTGGAGAAATCAGTATTGTTAAAATGGCAGTATTCCCCAAATTGATCTACATATTCAGTGCAAGCCCATCAAGATTCTAGCCATCTTGTTTTGTTTTTTTTTTTTGAGACAGGATCTCACTCTGTTAACTAGGCTGGAGTGCAGCGGTGCGATCTCGGCTCATTGCAACCTCCACCTCCCAGGTTCAAGCAATTTTTGTGCCTTAGCCCTCCAGGTAGCTGGGATGACAAGCACGTGCCACCATATCTGGCTAATTTTTGGTATTTTTAGTAAAGATGGGGTTTCACCATGTTGGCCAGGCTGGTCTTCAACTCCTGGCCTCAAGTGATCCACCTGCCTCCACCTCCCAAAGTGCTGGGATTACAGGTGTAAGCCACAGTGCCTGGCTCTAGCTCAAATACACTGAAAGCCAGAATTTGAATTGATACTTAGCCTTCCATGTTCAGTACAACACTATTCACAGTAGCTAAAAGAAACAACCCAAGAGTCCATCAACAGAGGAGTAATTTTTTTTTAAATGTGTAATGTACATACAATTTTCTTCAGCCACAAAAGGAATAAAGTTACGATACATCCTATAACATGACAACCCTGAGGACATTATGGTAAGTGAAATAAGCCAGATGCAAAAGAACAAATACTGTATGATTCCACTTACATGAGATACTTAGAACAGGAAAATTGAGAGAGACAGATAGGGGCCTGCTGCAATGGGGATGGGAGCTTTTGCTTAATGGTTACAGGGTTTCTGTTTGGGGTGATGAAAGAGTTTTACGAAGAGTGGTGATGGCTGCACAACATTGTGAATGTAATTAATGCAACTGAATTGCACACTTTTGACAAGGACAAATTTTATGCTATAATCACAATTTAAAAAATTATACTTTAATATACCAAAATCCATTTAAGGTATACAACTGTATACCTTAAATGGGTGAACTGTACAGTATGTGAATTATATCTCAATAAGTTTTTAAAAAAAGAAAAAAGAAAAGAAAAAGTAGTAAGCTCTCAAGCTATTAAAGGACATGGAGGAATCTTACATGCATATTGCCAAATGAAGGAAACCAGTCTGAAAAAGCTACATACTTCAAGATTCCAACTCTATGACATCTTAAAAGGCAAAACTATGGAGATTATGAAAAGACTGGTGGTTGTCAGGGATGCAAGGGAAGGGGTGAAGGGTAAATAGGTGGGGCCCAGACCACTTTTAGGGCAGTGAAACTATTCTGTATGATAGTGGAATGGTGGACACAGGACACCTTGTATTTTCCAAAACCCATAGAACTGTAGAATGCAAAGAGTGAATCCTAATGTAAAATATGAACTTTCATTAACAATAATGTATCAACATTTGTTCATAAATCGTAACAAATGGACCACACTAATGCAAGATGTTATTAGGGGAAATCATGTGTGAGTGGGGAAGGGTATGTGGGAACTCTGAATCATTTTCTGCATAATTTTTCTGTAAACCTAAAACTGCCCTAAAAAAAAGGTCTATTTTTAAAATTCATGCTTCCCAGAGAGAATGCTCTGAATTTTATCCTCTTATCATGATTCATAAGACTATTCACTTTAAACACAAATTACAGTTTTACAGTAGCTGGAGAGGAAGCGCTGATCCTTTTGCCACTGTAGAATATCAGGCACTACTGAATCATCTCAGGATTCTATCCTTTCCCTACTGCACCTCCTCTTCCACCCCCAAAAGAATTATTTTATGATCTCAATTTTTGTATTCATGTAACTGCTTCCATCTAGATAGTCTTTGAAGATTTCGGCATGTGGAAATACTTCCTTAATTTATGACTAAATTCCAATTTAATTATAATTATGAATTACAGTGACATTATTACACCAAATTGCCATGCCTCCTATTTTATTCACTTTATTCATTTTCTATGAGGTACCATTTTATCAGAAACCTAAGTGTGTTCGCTTTTTTTTTTCCTTTTAGAAAAAAGGTATTGTTCTCTAAGGCACTGAAGACTCAATACAGAGGATTAAATTAGAAACTATAACTGTCTCAGAGGAAAGACAGCTAGTATATTTAAGTACAACTCTTCCCCACCTCCTGGTATAAAATTATCCCCCCAAACTCCTAATTTTTATTGGCACATGGTATAAGCTTCCTTTTTTTTTTTTAAACTTTAGAGATCGGGGTCTTGCTATGTTGCCCAGGCTGTTACAGTGGCTAGTCACAGGTGCAACTGTTGCACACTACAGCACCAAACTCCTGGGCTCATGTGATCCTCCCACCTCAGCCTCCCACCTGGCAGGATTATAGGTGCGCACCACCACATGCAGCTTGTATAAACTTCTTTAACTGTTACCTTGGTCTTTTCCAGCTTCATCTATATGCTGAAAATCCTTCAGTGTTTGAAGGTTACAGAACCCCTCTCTGCAATGCTGAATAACTTTCTTTGATCCATTCTTGATGAGATAATCCATTAGCGTAAGGGATTTATACACATGGCGCCAGTTCTTCCCATGGTCACTGAGTCTGTGCCATAGCATATTCATAATCTCTGAGAGAGAAATTGTGTTGAAAGTCAAGTCACTGATATCTAACATCAGAGAACTAGAGGGACCCCAAGGGTCATTAGAAGTTGCTTCCCTGACTTTTATTTCAGCATCGGAGTAATTTTTCACAAAGTTTTTCACTTGCCTCCTGAATGCCATAAGTAATCCAAGTTCCAAGGTGAGATGGAGGGTGAGAACAATGGAATAGCAGTTTATGTCACTGGTTTATAAAACGCTTGACAGGTAATTGGTCCCCAGTTCTGGTACTCCCAAATACCAATAGTTTATATTGATAAAGCATCAATTTCCTGCAAGGAAAGCACAAAAAAATTTAAGTTAAACTTTTTTTTTTAACTCTATAGAGGACCAAATCAGTCTGAAAATCTAGATTTCATTTCTAAATCAGCCCGTCACTTACAGCATCCAGAATTGAGGTACCATATAACTGTTCCTAGGATAGGTATGGGAAAATCCCTCATGAAAGATTGGCCTACATTATTTAAAGAAATATAGGTTGTCTTTCAAGTCCTAAAAGTTCCTATGGAAAACATCATTCAACCTCTTTGGCCAGAAATCTAATGGCTATAAAGCATTACATGGACAGTAGACAAGTCAACATTTTAAAAAATAGAGCTTGCACTCTGATGTCTTTTTTCCTTTTTTCCAGAGACAGGGTATTGCTCTGTTTCCCAGGCTGAAGTGCAGTGGTACAATCACAGCTCACTGCAGCCTTGAACTCCTAGATTCATACAGTTCTCCTGCTTCAGCCCCTCAAGCAGCTGGAACTACAGGTGTGTATCACCATGCCTTGCTAATTTTAAAATCTTTTGTAGAGATGAGGGTCTCAGTTTGTTGCACAGGCTAGTTAAAAATTCCTGGCCTCATGTGATCTGCCTACTTCAGCCTCCTGAAGTGCTAGAATTTCAGGCATCTCTTAAGATATATTGTCATGTATAAAAATATTATGTTCTGAGAGTAATTAAAATGGGGGTAAAACTGAGTCTTAGAACCACCCACTGACCCTATGATTGTATTCTTTTAGAACTACAGGTCCTGAGAGACAGATATATAGTCTGCTTTCTTGCTAACCTAAAAGAAAGGAGGGTCAATTATGAAGACAAACAGCTGCATGTCAGTGGACTCCACAGCTAACTCATGGTACCCTAAAAGCACTATTTTAGTCCTGATAAGCCTAATAAATTAGACAGAAAGGTTAGATTACTTTCTTTATTCACCTTTGGAAAAAGAAGAATGAGTTTAGGATTAAACAGTGTCAATAGTAAGACTCAAATAATGTGAAGATTTCTATAAATCCTGCAGTGATCAGTATGTGTCTATCAGATCTCAAAACAAGGACCCACAGAGAGGCCCATATACTAAAACTTACAAGGCATATGCAGCCCCAAAACTTGACACAATGCTTGTGAATGATCAATTCAGTTTATAGGAAACCATTCCCTTGCTCTTTTTCATTATTTTGCATTAAGGAGGGTCAGTTAGTTTGCAGTTTCCCTAGTGATTCACCACTGCTGACTGCCGAGACAGTGTACCAAATTGATTTCAAGCCCGAACGAGCATCCAGACCAAGCAAAACCTAGATAATCTATAATCAGACTTTACTAGAGAAACTGCACACATAGAAAAGAAAAAACGTTAAAATCCGTAACAAATGTGTTCACTATTTTTAGTTTTGCTTCCCTTTCTTGACCTTCTCAGATAACTAGCTCAGGCTTGATTAATTTCTGTATGTGTATTAAAGGAAGACATAAATTTTCAGAAGCATCCTAAATAAACTATCACTTCTTTAAAAAAAAAAAAAAGGTAAGAGGAGATAACCTCTTTTTGGTAAAAATACAACACACTCACTAAGCAAGACAGAAAATATACCCGTATAACTGGTCGGGCATGATGGCTCCTGTCTGTAATCCTAGCACTTTGGGAGGTCGAGGTGGGTGGATTACCTGAACTCAGGAGTTCAACACCAGCCTGGGCAACATGGCGAAACCCTGTCTCCACTAAAAACACAAAAAATTAGCTGGGCTTGGTAGTACACACCTGTAATCCCAGCTACTTGGGAGGCAGAGGCATGAAAATTGCTTGAACCTGGGAGGCAGAGGTTGCAGTGAGCCGAGATCACACCACTGTACTCTAGTCTGGGAGACACAGCAAGAGTCTGTCTCGAAAAAAAAAAAAAAGAACAAAAAGGAAAATGTATTAAATATCTGTTTAATTAAGATTTCCCAGTAAGTCACTATCATTAGCCCTAGGAAGAAAAAGAGAAGTTGTGTTTCTACAACTTTCTGATTTTCTCTTTTCTGCACTTCAAACAGGCATTTTTATGACTCCCTCCCACAGTGAAAACCTGATTTATAATATTTCAGTAACCTATTAAAATTTCAATCATGAGAGTTTTCTTTTTCTATTGTACTTTTTCACCCTCTACCAAACTCACATAGTGCAGAGATGCACTATGACATTGGCTTAGAGCAGCAAACATTGATCTGTTTCTTCACAAGTCTATTTTCTTTTAAAGCCCTGTTAGAATCATAACTTGCTGGAATTGAACAACAAAAGTTCATTTTTTTTCTTTTTTGGATAGCTGTCTATCTGTATTCTAGAAGGACAACCATAATGTTTAGGTTTTTCTATATTCCCTAACCTGTATTTTAAACTTTTAAAAAATGTTTTCTTAAATGAACTTTCTAACCCAGAAAAATACCAAAATAATAGCCTTCTAATCCAACAGAGTAGTTTAAAATGGATGTACATGACACCATATCAAAATTAAATACACCCTCAACCATTAGAAAAATCACAAGAAAAGTCTAGAGAAGTGAATTCATATCACTTACTAATGTACAGTGACTTGAACTTTACCTTGTGATATGAACGTAGAATATGTAAGACACTATTCTATTACTGCTGTCTTTTCAGAATGACAAGGAACTCAATTAATTGATGTTAGTTGTAAATTATATGTTGGTTTAGTATGTGTTTTAGACACCTAACTACATGAAATTGCTGTTTACACATACCATCAAATAACTGTGAGATTGTAACTGTAGGGGTGTGACATGAGACAAAATTAGTGCCCAAGAGGGTAAATTTCCACATCTGCATCTTGGTTGTCTGGCTACCTAACTCACTATAATATTTAAAAATAGAGGGAAGAAGTTAAGTATTTCATGTCATAAATCTGAGAGGTGTTCACCAACCTCACTAACTACTTAGGTGTCTCCAGCGTCTGGTCAATTTCCTTCATTGCACTTACAACAATCTGTACTTACTATTTGTCACTTGCTCAGTGCCTTTCTTCACCACCAAACTAGAAGCTCCTTGTGGGCAGGGACTTTGACTGTCTTACTTGCCACTGTAATCCTATGACTAACAGCTAATTAGCAGCAGTAGGTGCTCAGGAAACATGTGTTGTGCTAATGACACAATGATTGAATGATTCTGCCTTAGAATAAACCTGCATTGCTTCTATAGCTTTATAATTATAATCATCACTATTTTTTTCTTTTTTCTTTTTTTTTTTTTTTTTTTTTAGATAAGACCTCTCACCATGTAGCCCAGCCTGCTTGCAAACTCTTAGGCTCACGCAATCCTCCTGCCTCAGCCTCCCTAGTAGCTTGGGACTACAGGTGCATACCACATAGCCTAACTAATTTTTTTTAACTTTTTTTCTTTTTTTTTTTTCTTTTTTTTTTTGGGAGGACAGAGTTTCGCTCTTGTTACCCAGGCTGGAGTGCAATGGCGCGATCTCGGCTCACCGCAACTGCCGCCTCCTGGGTTCAGGTAATTCTCCTGCCTCAGCCTCCTGAGTAGCTGGGATTACAGGCACGCGCCACCATGCCCAGCTAATATTTTGTATTTTTAGTAGAGACGGGGTTTCACCATTTTGACCAGGATGGTCTCGATCTCTTGACCTCGTGATCCACCCGCCTCGGCCTCCCAAAGTGCTGGGATTACAGGCTTGAGCCACCGCGCCCGGCCCTTTTTTTCTTTTTTTTGAGATGGAGTCTTGCTCTGTCACCCAGGCTGGAGTGAAGTGGCATTATCTCAGATAACTGCAACCTCCGCCTCCCAGGTTCAAGCTATTCTGTCTCAACCTCCCAAGTAGCTGGGACTATAGGAAGGAGCCACCATGCCCAGCTAACTTTTGTATTTTTAGTAGAGACAGGGTTTACCATATTGGCCAGGGTGGTCTTGAACTCCCAACCTCAAGCAATCTTGAATGCCCACCTCAGTCTCCCAAAGTGCTGGGATTACAGGCATGAGCCACTGCACCTGGCCTTAAAAAGAAATTTTTTTTAGACATGGGTTCCTGCTAGTTGCCCAGGTGGTCACAAACTCCTATAAAGCATGACATTTAAAAAATAAAATCTAGCTCTAATAATTTTCAAGTAAAATTCTATAGTTTTGAGCAAATATTTTCAAATCATCAACAGATATTTCTTGAGAACCTACCATTTGTATAGCTTTGTAGAGAAATACAAAACATGAATTTCACATTAAAATTTACAATTAAGGAACTTTCCTAAATAATTCCAAGAAAAACAAACAAATGATTACACAGAAAAGATCTCTTAGTTTTCTTTTTAGCTCTGCCCACTTTCACAATGCTGTTTCCTTCCCCCCATCTCATCTGAATCCTAGCAGGAAATGATTTATCAGGTGGCATTAAACTATTGGTCCACGATCTTTTATCCAAATCCTTTGAGGCCAGATGAGTTGTGGAATTCTTTTTCGGGTGTGGGGGGAGGGGTGGAATTTTCCACAGTAGTGCCATGAGTATAGATTACATGATCTCCACAGTAAGGTGTGGGGCTGCTCTAAACAATTAAACACATTAATGTGTCTGCAACAAAAACATATAAATATTTGGAATAGAGACTACAAATGGCCTCATTCCAGTTCAAGCCAAGTTTTACCACCAAATGAGTTGGGGGGAAAATTGGTTTCCAAAAATTTTTGGACTTCAGGATTCAGAATAAGGAACAGAGGAACTGAACTGACCTTATCCAAAGACTTGGGACAATAATGACAATAGCTTCTAAGAGGTTGAGTCCCCAGAGCCATCTCTGGAAAGATGCATTTAGGGTGGAACTATAAGGAAAGAACAGCTCTTGTGTTTGTACAGGTTCTGCCTACAGACATGACTTTGACTCAGAAGGAAATAAGCTCTGGCCAAGAATGCTATGGAAGAATGGTTACAGAGAATACCACGGCATTAGGATGTGTTAGTTTTGATGGAAAGAATACTGTCAGAGGCAGAGACTCTAATCTTTTCGAGCTCC